TATAAATAAAGGCATTGCAATCCGAATGCGAGTTTCATTAATTTAAAACAATATTGACAGTGTTTGTGGGATTTTGAGGGCGGATACTCCCAGTTTAGCCTCAATTACGTTTAAACATCGGAATATGCGAAGCAAATGTGTACTAATACACCTTCAAATACCATATTAATTAATATCCCTCCCTGCTTGTTATATTGATGGATTTGAGAGTTAATTTCGAACGGAATGAATGTCTGAATAACCCTCGACGTAATTAATACCGTTCTAGTGTAGGGTCGTCATTATTCTACAGATGATATAATTTACATGTCGAGTTGATAATATGCAATTTTGGCTTCTACAAGACGGCTCTTAGTATGTAGGTATATGATTTTCATTCATCGTGTTGGGGACAATGTATGGTTTTAGTGCAATTATTGGTGTTTGTTTTCGGTTTGATCGAATGAGCAATGTTCTAAATATCAGCGTAATCAATCTGTGTTTTCATTACCAACAACGAAAACAATCAAATAATTGCGATTGGTTATGCACAGAAGCAATAAATACACAGAAAGCAAATTATTATTATCAATGGAAACGTAACAGTAAATTCCTTATCTCTCCCGACAAATATTGGCAGCTCTATACAGAAAGCCGTTAGATGTAGTAACTCAATTTGCATCCTTAACATACGCCAACTGTGTCGAAGGAAAATTTCATATAAAATAAATTGGGTTCTAAAAATGTTCGAATTTCCTCTCTAAAAACATTATTCGTCGTTCATTCGATTGATTTGATCGATAAGTTTCCTGCCAGTAAAAATGTTTAATTGCAGGAAAGTTCCATGTTAGGATTTTGGTGCTATAAACCTAGTTGAAACTAAATCATTTCCCTTCTGAAAGTTTCAAAGCTTCTAGCAAAATGTTACAGAGTAGAGCTACGAGCTCATAAATATTTACTGGATTGCATAACCATCTTCTTGCGTTTTATTAACACATAAACCGCGCAAATAATTCAGCTTCTTGAAACTTTGTAGTTTACGATGCCATGTGAAAATAAGAAACTCGCTACTGTACAGCATGTGTACCCAAACAAACGGTAATATGGAACAGACAGACTGAACATTTTATACCGGATGTCCCTGACCATAGGAGGTTTAACATCGAAAGTGATTTCATAGTATTATCAACACACACAAAGCCGTTAACCCACCCCAGACGGAAAATTCACCTGATCTGAAATGAATGGTCCCGTTTTGACCGTCAGGGTTGGAATTTCGCATTGCACTTGTTTTGGTTATTATGTCAATAGCTCAGCATGTTGCAGGTGGATTTGTGGTTGCACTTGTTGCATTGGGATTGATACATGTATTTTCACAGGACCATCAGGTGGAGTTTGGGCAAACGGGTTTTTAAGACGACGTCACCCAACTTGCGGTTTCAATTGAACCCCGTGCAATTAAACTATTTCAGTAATTGGGCTGGTGTTTAGACATGGTTTTTGTTTGTTGTAGGATCTCAGTGGAGGTAACAGTAACGACAGTTCTGGAGGTCCAGCACCGGGAACCCCAAATTCTCAGGGTATGCGACCAACGCCGTCACCAACGGGTTCAACGGGTTCTAGGTCGATGTCTCCTGCTGTCGGTAAGCACAAATGACAAACTATTACACCTGCAATTAACTCTGAATATAATTATAGTAATGCCATTGATAATTGTAATGAAGTGAACTCTGCACTGAAGCTCTCTCTCATTGTTCTTTTCTCATCAATTATCTCATGAGTGCGCTATTGTTAAGACTTTGCCATCTACCTCTTGCTTCTCTTCATATCTACATATGTTGCACTCCGCCACATCTGTTCGAAAAGCTGCATTATTGATAAGAATTGCGCTAACATTTCCAGCCAATTGCGTCCAATTTTTCAGATCAGTCGAATAAAGGCATTTTCAAATCCACCACTTGTTTTTAAAGCGCAATTTCACTTCCTTCAATGCTTCTTTAAAAACTGATGTGTTTTCCAAGCCAACTACGTCGATGAGTAACAATTGTTTGCTCGATTCCTTCATTATAATTTTATTTGTCAAGTTCCCGCATACATGTTATTCGTCGTTCAGAATAACGGTTATTTATGTTATGCCAGCATGATTTAAGCGAGTTCATTCGAATTTATCCGGCCTTGAGACGATTGCGTCCCAAACAAAACTGCATTTTGTATTTATGGAAATGTCAATAAATAAAAAATGCTGATTTTTACGTAATACTTTCCGCATTCTACAAGTAAACTCACTTATCGCAGTAATTCATGCGATGAAGGTTTTATGCGACGAGTTGTAGGGGAGTGTGGGGTGGATTTGCCAAGGCGCACTTGGAGTACCTACATATCTTTGCTATAATTTTATATTTGTGCCATTGAGTTTTTACTCTCTTATAATAACAGCACGTGTACGGACGCTTCACATCTAAAGAGAGTTAATAAACATGGCTCAGATAATCATTTGTTTCAGTTGGATTCAAAATTATTTGAAGCTATGGTTTTTAACATTGGTACTGCTCCATTTAAAGGTAGAGCGCAATGTGTTTTTGTTAACATTTTAGGTGTGGCTGTGAATTAGGCCATTTAGGTGTGTTTACTGAATATAAATCCTTAGTTCGTGCATAACTAAATAAATCAATAGATGGTTTCTCCTGAGATGTAACTACCAACTTACAAAATAATTTGATCAAGCCGTTCGTCTGTTTCCAAATAACAATCTGAAAACTGTCCGAAGTACCCCACGTTGCCCTACTTAAAGAAAACACCCAAACAAGGATCCCTTAAACATTTGGAGATGATTCTGATGTGCATATTTAAATAAATAGTTTATGGAATTTAGGACTTTAGTGCTGATAGTTTCTTTTTATCCTTTTGCAGGACAAAACATTCCTATGCCGCCTCGCCCATCCAGTAGTCAATCTGATGGCGGAAGTGGTGGTAGTAGTGGAGGAGGAGTGTCAGCACGTTTGAGTCATTCTCCAATGCCTCCGGTACCTGGAGGTTACGGTCCTCCGGGGCAACAATCGCCTCATCCAGGCTCGTACAAAGGCATGGTTGCAGGTCCAGGTGGGCCTCCTCAAAATTCACCGCAGATGCCACTTTACCAACACCAACCTGGCCAGTATCCTGTACAAGCCGGTGGTTATCCTCCACGACCTCCAGGAAATGTAAGTAGAAAAATTCACAAAAACCAAATTTACGACTTGTGTGTGGAGTAAGATATTGGAAAAGTTAGGAAACTTTGTCAATGGTTAAACGTGTGAAAGTTTGCGTGTGTATAATGGAGAGCTTTCTATTGAATGAAACTGAAAGTTATCAAACTTCCGTAAACAGCATATAAAGTGTGTCCCCGATATTCTAGAAGCTCTTACCGTTGTTAATTGCACATTTTCCCGCTCAAATAATTTTAATTAATTGAAACTGACCAATAATTGGCAATATCGCATGATACTCTGCCGGTTAACCTCAAATGCAGTTATGTATCGCTCTTTGGATTATTATAACAATTTATATTATAAAACATTCTGTTATTTCGATTGGCAAATTGGAATCGGGAAATTTCGTTTCGGGGAAATCGCTGTAATTGTAGGTAAATAATAAACCCAGAGGCAAAAATGTTATTATTCCGAGGGTTCAGCAATATTGTATTTTTAATGAAACAGAGTATATAAAATATTGGTAAATGTGCACGATAACCTTCATTAAAGTTAGATTATTGCGGTTGTGTGTTTTAACAATAAAAATGCCTCATGGCTCTAAAAGCGATTATGTAAATACGGTCGGGATAACCATATTGTGGAGCTGAATAAAAACGGACACCCGTCGATTTTCGAATTGATTGAGGCAATAAATTTAACAGCAGAAATACTCAGTTGTTGTGACGTCCTACTCAAACATCCTGAGGATTATTTATTGGTCGGGCGTCACTCTTAAGAGAGCATTTTTCATATTTTTCCGCAGGAAAAATGACGGTACCAGGGTGCATTGTTTATTTTCCTTTATTCTCAACCGTATTAAGGCCGGGGCACATCTATCCGATCCGACTCCGATCCGACTCCGATCAGAGAACCTTCCGTCGATGACCAAATAATCGGATCGGTGCGTGATCGGAAAAGGGAAGCCACACG